GGGGTCACAAACCCCATGGCCTGGTGCTTCACAGCCATCTGAGTGCAACTCTGCTATGACCTGTTTCAGTGACTCCATTAACATTTTGTTAGGGTGACATTATGAAGACAGCGCATCGTGGAACTAGGAGATGATACTGCCATTCTATCTGCATGGGTTTGCCCTACTTTATTTTGTTGTGAGTTACCTCCTACTCAGATAGGTCTTCAGGCTTAGTGGTAGTTTCTGCTCACTTCCCTGTTGTAAGTGTATGTACTTATTCAGGTTAGCCATGTATGTAATCAAATGTAGTTAGAAAATAATTAGGTGTCTATATCAACATTCTTACTGTGGTAGATTAAACTTGGAGGGCAGGGAGCTGATAAATGGTTCACTTTGGTTACTGTCTTTCATATAAGATTGCCTCTAATCATGATATGAAAACCAAGAGAGTTTCTGTTATATCTGTTGCACAGCTGAGTATGTGGCAGAGATCCCAACCAAATGTCAGTGCAGCAGATAAAGATCCTACTTTGGATCTGAAAGCACTGCACTTGAACTACTTAGTCGTGCTTTTCAACTGGACTTTGATTGACACCATGCTGGGATGCTGCAGGTGCAGTCTTTCTGAGTCTAGAGCTAATGCAAAGTAAATATACACTTTAAAAATAGGGCAAAAAATACAGATTTTAGTGAAAATTGTAGATGAGTGACTTTTTGGGAAAATGCAGTAACCAGGCTTTATCAAGTTTTGCAGGATAATTTTACTGAGGACATGAACCTGAAATATCGTAAGACTGCTGTATATGCTGTTTTAAAAAGCTGCAATTTTTGAAGCTTCAGCATAGCTGAACCTGTAGATAGCTTCTAGTTATAAAGTGCTAGCTCCAGGCTTTCATGGTAATATTTCATGTCTGGAAACATGCATGTGATGCATTTTGATGACTACAATCCAATTCCCACTGGAATTGTAAGAAACTTTCTCAGTAGTTTTGCTGCTTGTGCTTCCTTTTCACTGCCGAGAAGTTTTGTGACCCTCAAAAAGCAAACAAAACCTTCTTCCCTGACATTTCTTGCCAAGTAGAAATCTAGCACTTGACTGCAGAACATCCTTGCAAGCAAAATAAGGCTATCTGAAAACATGTCAATTATCAAGGGTGTAGAATACCAAACTCCATTATTTTTCATAAAATTACATTAGTATTTTTGTTTTAAAGTACAACACAATTCAGTACCATTGCAGATTTTCAATTACTTTTCACTTTAGTTTTTGTCTTCATCAAAGGAAGATATTACACCACTTTAATTTGGATTCAGTTTGAACTGGTTGAAGCCCTTTGCTTTAATCTTGCAAAGACCATTCTCTTGTCCTAATGAATTCACATTAACAGGCTTGTCTGAACAAACTAGAACTTTGGTTCAAGACAAATTTTGGTAGGAAAGAGGTGTTGACTGCTGTGTTTTATAGTTTGCAACTGTAAAAATTGAATGAATATAATTTTGTATCTTTCAGATTTTTCACTGACGTCACTTTCTCCCACACTCTTTACCCATCAAATTCAAATGAAGTACATTGACATTATGCCAAGAAATATTTGTACTTTTTTACTTTTTCTTGCTTTCTTTAGATCTTAACATACTTGCCTTCATTTTTGCTGTTAGAATTTTACATCGTGTTTTTACTGAATTGAAAGAAATTGAATTGAAAGAGATGATACCTAGAGCTTGCTGAATCTACTGCTTGATTCAGAAACAATTCTCTGTCAAGCTGTCTGTCAGCTATCTGGTACTATCTTTTTTTTTTTTTTTTTTTTTTTTAAGCAATAAAATGTGATTATGACTTGAACAGCATGTTTATACTTGAGTTTTAAAATCTTCTCTGTATCAAAAATTCTTTCATTTGAGTAACATGGCGGCTGTCTAGCAAGCTGCCTGTCACTGCTGAATTCCCTGCTTGAATTTTGCATGCTGATGAAAGGTACTATTGCTTGCTTAAAATGTAAAGAAACCCCTTATGTATACACAAATGTTGCTTTTATGTGGCAGGCTGCAGAATGTGAGGTTAAACGGGTGTTGTTGAACAACTTTATTGTTACTTACATAGTGCCATTGGCCAAGGAGAATTGTGAGTTACACTTTAGAAGCTGGGCATTGAAGGCTTGGGGCCAGATTCTGATACATTATCCATGCTGAGAAGGAGATTATTTTCATTAGTAGTTCCTGGAATAAAGGTGTTCTGACTAATGGTTAAAGTAGTAATTTTCAGATGGATAATTATTGCTATTGGTGATGAGGTGGCAATGCTCCACCATATCAATCTAACTCTGTCTGACCTCCCTGATCTTTGTAGATATTATGTCATACAGAAATCTTATGATACCTCTGAGTCAACTGCAGTCTTGAAACAGAAGTGGGATTGATTAGAACCAGCATTATTGATTCACACTAATGCATTTTGCTTGCAAGACTCCATCATTAGATGTAACACAACTGAGAAGTGCCCAAAGCAAAACATTTTCTTGCTTTTCATATTGTAATCAGAAAATAATTACATGATTATCACTAGTAAGTGTGGTGGTGTTGTATGTGGGTCAATTATTTAGAAAACGAAAATTATTATATTGCCCATGCTTCACTCATAGCTGTCTACTGAAGATTATTTTAAAACAAACATATACCTGTTAAGTATAACTGCTAGGAACTGTTTAAATATGGATTAGAGTTTGTGCTGTCATATATGCCCTTGAAATGAGAAACAAACTTAATTGCTATATTTACCTGTTATGTTGGATAGAATTTTGTAACAAAATAAAAAATTCACAGAGAAAAACATCAGAACCTGAAAGTAGCAATATAAAAAGGTGTGTGGGGGGGGACAGACACCTTGGATTCAGGACATAAAAATGATAAACGCTATGTTCAAGTGATACCAAATAAAGCTTAAAAAAAAATAAATGGAAAGTCATTCTAATACTGTATTATTCTTAAAACATGGTAATTTTTTTGAAGGCTTGCTTGTACTTTACTAGCGAGTAGACTTTACAATCTGAACTAAATCAGCCTGTCTCTCCTTAAACCAGCTTCTGCTTGCTTAGGACCAAGAGATAAATCAGAGATTACTCCACTGTATTTGAAAACATTTATTTGGATCTGTGTCCTTTTGCAAAGGTTTCTAGGACTGCATACAGAAAGGTTTCATGTGAAATGGCTTGAGTCATAAAGACTCACATACAATAGGAGTTTCAGATCTAAATAAATGTTTTAAAACAAGCTCACCAGAAAGACTGTAAAGTGGAGAATAACATAATAATCTGACTGTCATCAATCCCCATCTATTTTTATTTATAAGTTTTGCAGTGAGTTCACTTTTCTAAGAGAGTTACCCATTCCTGCAGCTAATAGTCCTTGTAGGACTGCATTTTAATGAGACCTGTTCCAACACTGCAGTAGGATATATGTAAATCCACTCTGAGGTCTACGCAAGATGCACAAATGGCACAATGAGGCATAGTGTAAATAGTCAGCAAAGAAAATACGAGGAAGTATTTTTATTTTAAATGAAATAGATGTACTGAACAGGACCAAGTCTACCATTTAAAGCAGATTTGGAAACTCTTACATACATAAGAGTCAATATTTTCTGTCTGTATCCTGTTGCTTGTATATAGTCTTCATTTTTGAGGACTTTGAAATTATTTTGTTTCAGTTAATAGTAAATAGAATTGGCCCTTCAAAGAAATTTGCTGCAGTGAGAGCAAAAATAAACTTGATAAACAAAATAAAACTTGATAAACAAACTTGATAAACAAAAATATTACTGATGTTAACTCTACCCCATACACCTCCCAAAGAACATTTCTTCCTTTTTATTATTCTTCATCCCTGAGATTTGTGGAGTGGTTCAGATGAGCAGATAATCTTTCATGGTAATGAGTTCAGAATTTTCATGAGATTTGCTATTATTTCTCATGATTGACAGTAGCCCTATATCCAGGCAAGTCCTTAAATAAGGTGTTTGTTTTGTTTTGTTTTGTTTTGTTTTGTTTTTTCTTCATTTGTTTTTGGTTTTTGCCTGAACCCTGTTTATGCAGAAGCTCCAGTGAGAAAGGTGAGCCCGGTTTATCCCTATTACCAAGATTAGGAACGCCACGTTGAGACTGGGTGGAAAGAAAGTTGCAAAATGGATGCAGAAAAATGAACTGTTGAATATTCAGGGAAAAATAGGAGAAGGAGGAGAAAAAAGGAGGAGACAACAAGAGAATAAGCAAATCACCTTCCTCATACACACTGGAGATGTTTCTTTTTGAGTTCATTTAGATGAGAACTTGGAATAGACAGTTACACATCTGTTTTTGGCAGTTAGGAAATACATGAAAAATAAAATGATTATTTTAGATGTACAGTTATTAAAATACTTTAAATTCTATGTGTAGACTTTTGCAGTTTCTCCTTTGCAGTCATCTTTGCTGTCTTGGTGATACCTGTCTACTTGTAGTTTTTGGTATTTCCTTCCTGATTATCCCATGTACATTGCACTGCAGCTCCTGTTTCATTGTTCAGGTAAGGAGCAAGGCAGAAGTAATTAAAGAAAAAAAAAATATCTTAAACATATCAGAGCCTACCATTGTACAATTCTCCACGCATCAATATAGTGCTGAGAGTGCTGGAAATGCTGTATTTAATGTTCACTGTTGATTTTGACTGCCACAACATGAAAATCTCCACAGCTGTTCTAGTGGTCACCTGAGACAACCATGAGTGCAGCAGCCTTAGCAAATAGGTAACTGGGGGACTTGTCGTGCTGCTTTTGGTAGGTTGTGATATAATTTCTTAGCATTGTTTCAGAAATGCATTGCGTACAGTAGTAGCAGAATGGAAGTGGAAATGTCCAAGAAACAAACAATTACTCCATTCTGCAAAATGAAAATATATGTGTGTTGTTTGTAAATAATGTAACATACATATTTTTATACTTAACTTATGACAATATATTAATTGTAGCTATTTTTGCAATCCTTCAGGTGGCTATAATAGCGGGAAATTTTGAGCTTGCTGAATATATCAAGAACCACAGGGAAGCTGATATTGGTAAGCAAAATATTTGCAAATGCTGGAAATGTTATACGTTTTAAAACCAAGATTTTATAAAGAATTTAAATGTCTTTCAGTGTGTGATATGATTACGGGGCTAGCGACAGTATTGTTTCAGGGAGATTTTAAAAGTAACTTTTCCTTAAAAAAAAATGCAGGCAGGAGAAAAAGATTAAATGTTTTCAAAATATGCTCTGAAAAAAAAAAAGAAAAGTAATTTTGGGGTAAATTTGAAATAATGCAAGTCATAGGTGTTTCATGAGTATGAATTAGTCAGTTTCTGACAGATTAAATACATGTGTCCATATGAAGCAGAGCTAAATGGGCTCCTGCAAGCTGTTTTGAACTTTTGCATCGTCCCAGAGAAGCTCTTAAGTACAAATAATTGGTCAGAAGAAGATTAAGATGCTTCTCTGGAATTGAAAACATACATGGCAGAAATTATCTATAAAATCTGTTTCCCTCAGTGAGACTGGATTAAGTCTAGAGCAGTTCCAAATGATAGGCATTAAGGTCTATTAACAACAACAACAAAAAAAAACTTAAATTTATTTAAATAACTTTTTACAGAGTGTATTTTGCCATTAAAACAAAAATTTCAATAAAGCAATTTCTAACCCAGTTTAAGTAAAATGAATTTAAATCCTGTAACTGAAGTCAAATAAAACTCTATAGGAACATCTTGAAGTTGCTCTAAAAAAAGGCATTTATTGTGAAGTAGGAGGGTCTGTATAGTTGTCTGCACCAATTTAACTCGATGATGTATGTCTAAGACTTGATAGTGTTTAATTTATGTGGAAAACTAGGTCAGCTCACATACAACATGGGGCTGTAAAGAACTGTTCTAGATTAAGGTCTCTCTTCTCTTTCCCTGCCTTGTTCCACATGCTCTGCAGGGACATAGTTTAAAATTTGGCACAATAATGTGAATTCTAGTAGCATTGTGATACTTTTAATTCTTTCCAGTATGCTTTGAGAGAACTGAGGAAATTGCATAAAAGTTTTGTGTAAAAGTTATGTTTCTGCAATTCATAGTGAGTTTGTAAGATTTTTACCTGACATAGTGGGATAGTTCCTTTCCATATAAGACGTCCTCCCTCTGTATTTATAAATAGTCTGATGTAAACAGTTAACTTAGAAATGAACCAGCTATTCCTAATATGGTAAGAATCTTCTTGTTTATATTTACATATGGCTAATGATTTTAAAAACTTTTTGATGATCATGAAATGAAAGGAGAAGATTGCTTAGATTCAAATGGTTCTCATTATTTCTGCTGTGCTAGTTCTTGGTTCTTTGGCTTGCCTGCACAGCCTGTGCAGAAAAAGTGCTGCAAGTAGACAATGCAAAGTATTGCGTTTTGTTTTTCTAAGTGCAATTTTTCTCTTAAAAATAGTTATGTAGAAGGGAAAAAAAAAAACTCTAATGAAGGAATGACTTGCTGGTGTTAACTATGTGTACACTTTTGGCATAAATAACTCTAAAATGTAAGTAACACAGTACACTTATTGATTGTAGCCTCTAAGTTGGATTTCATGAAGCCATATTGACATTGAAGTCATTGCTTCTCTGACTGTTCAGTTCTTCACTGCTTTTCCTTCCCCCTGACGGGTGCCATTTCCAAGTTTTATATTAATGTATGAGAGAAATTGGAATGTAGTTAAAAAGTAGATGGATGAGAATTAGTTCAGGAAAGAAATGATAACCACATGGCTGTTGCTTTAGGCAGAACTGAATGCATCAAAATATCTATTTCTTGAATGTTTCCCAAACTAAAAATAAATGAATCACAGAACAATATCCTGAGCAGAAAACCTGATAGCTAGCATGATGAAGAATGTGCAAAACAACGCACTTAAACTTCAAAAACTTGATGTTTACTTAGCTTACCTGTCTGGTTATCTGCTATATTCCTGTAGTTTTGGATGTATTCCAACATACAACTTTTGATTAATGTACCCTCTTAGAGAACAGAGGCAACAGAGTGGCAAGAAATAACAAAGAGCTAGAGAAGTATCCTAAAACTTCCATCTTTCATTAAATGCACGTTCAAAAAGTGTATTTTTGGTTAGGTATTGAATTTTGATATTAAATGAGTTCATAAAGCCTCATTGTTATTTTAGACCTATTTAATAATCAATAAGCTACAACTTTGGGAAATTCTTGGAATATATACAACTTTGTGTGTGTTCCCTTTTACTATGGAAGTTTTAGATGGTGGATGATGTGATGTTCAATCATTTAATAGTAAGATTGTTGATGATATCTGTGATTATTCACAAAAACATTTGTTGGCAGAGGGGTTGGTGATGTATTGGAGAGAAAGTCCACATTGCTCTTGGAAGATTTCTGACCTAATATTTTGACTTTTAGTGATTGTCATACAGTATCTTTAACGATAAATACTTTTAAAATGGAAGCCTATTATGCAACAAATTAAGAGAAGTAGCAATAATATTTTTTTTCAGAATGAACCTGTCTGCTTTCCTAAGTGTGTCATCTTGAGGATGGGAAAATTTTAACTGCCTAGAGTAGCTGGAAACTGGACCTAACTTAGTAGTTTCAAGAACAGTTATTTTTTCATCTGTTGACAGAAACAAGTTTTTACATTTCTCAAACTGAAGTATCTGAAATTTAGAAAATAATATTTGCTAGAAATCTCTAATCTTACACAGTGAGGAACTACATTATCAATGTCCATCTGTTTTGACATGCGCTAATTAACATTATTCTTAGATAATTTTGTTGTCCCAAGCTATTGCAGTAGGAAGTCACTTGTACTTTCAATGCAGAAGGTATTATGTGGGTGTCTTCCAGTTTGTCAGTAGTCACAAAGCTGTTTCGAGTGTTGTTGCCAAAACTGCAATTATAAGGATCTAACAGCAGTAATGTAATGCTTATGATTCATGGTCCTGTGCCATGCATCGCCGTGAATGAGCTGCTTTGTTCAGTGGCAGAGATCATAGCTCAGCCTTTCCACAGGAGGAGGAGACTGCTGCCTATGCAGTAATGGGATGAGGCTGCAGCGTGCCAGCAGCAGGAGCACTACATCTCAATGCACTAGTCCACAAGAGCTCTACATAAATACATTTGCATGCTTAAGTGCTGGGTCTATCACTCATTATCTATTCCACCTTTGTCTGACAATTATATTTCATTGGCTTTTAGAGTAGGATACTATTTTAAGCCATACACAAAGTCTAGGATTGTTCAGCCTCAAGAAGAGGCTGAACTGCATGTCTTAAAGGGAGACTTTTTTTCCCCCTCTTTTCTTTTTCCCCCTCTTTTTCCTGGCCTGGATCTGTGCCAAATTGTAGTGCTAAGCCTGTCCTCATTGTTGAAGATGATAGAGAAGCAGCTCAAGTGAAAAATGACCAGGGTATCCTCCTCTAGCAGTAGAAAATACTAATTTACAGCAGAACTACTAAATCTTTGCTCCTCTAAAAATTCAAAAATCTCAGATACAGATCATTTTGTACAGAGATTGCCCTCCCTTTTTATTTAATTATGAAGCACTTCTATTAGACAAATACATTGAAATTATGAACAAATATAAGCTTTTCTGTTTATGTAATAATCATAAGACTTGACTCTATACTGTAAAAAGAAGAAAATGTAATGATATCTATTCTAGAGTCATAAAAGGCAAAAATGATGACCCATGTTACTAAAGTAATGTGACATCTGACTGAAAGAGGGGGATGCTTTTGTGTTCTATGGCTGTTTGCATCACTTAGATCTTGCCAGATTAAAGCGTCGACCTAGGGCCAATATGAGCATATACTTTTAGTCAGAGAGGCGAATTATGTCCATTTTCCTTTTATAGAAGCAAATGAAATAACGGTTTTATCCAGAACAGAGTGTGTATGTGCCATTGGCAACCTGATTTATCCAAGGAATATCCAGTAAATCTGGAGAGAGGACATTTTGCCGGGAAAGTTTTCAGCTACATAAAATTGTGCTATAGAGACCACTCAGTTGGCTAAGCTGTGGGTGTTTAAAGACAGATAAAGTCATTCAGGGTTTCAAAACTATCAGGAGAGGTCAGAGCTGGTAGACATACACTGAGACAGCTTTAAGCACCAGCGCTGTTGTTGAAGAGCATGTGCCACAATTGTTTTCCCTCCATCCTTCCCTCCCTTCACCCCTCCTCCCTCTCTCCATCATTCCTTCAGTCTGGAGAAAGCCTGATGTCCATCACATTCTTGCCATGGGTGGGTGCAGCCATGGTACCAACATGAAATCTGTTAGCTATTCTGTCCTATTAAAAAAAACTGACCTTTTCCTCAGAATGCTCAACGTTGTGTGGGTTCTCTCACACACGCTCTCTCTTCTATCAGCAAGTTGTTTCTTTCTTACCTTGCGGCTCTTCCCACCATCAGCTGCCACTTAATCTTTACATTAGGTATCTGGGTGAGCAGTCTGTTGAAACTGTGGCATGAAAACTATTCAGCGCAGATTACTGTTTTTTGACTTGGTGCTGCAATTTTGAGAAACAAATGGAGAAAAAAGCCTTGCAAACAATTCCTGTAGCTTAGTACAGTAATCGACACCTTGCTGTCATTAATAGGGAATGTTTACATCAGTCTTGTTTGATGGAGATGGTGCTGATTTGCAAGACCAAAACATATATAAAAATAAAGGTTTTCAAAGAGAGGGAAAAGGGATATCAGTAAGGGATTTAAAAATAGATACAGATTTATTTGTATTTATTTCTTTTATGAAGATCCCTTTGTTGTTTTTTTGATAGACATGCCAAAGTTGAATGTAAATTGTCCTATCATTTTTTAAATTAATCCTATTTGAAACAAATGAAAATAATATTTTTCATAAAGCAAGAAAACCTATTACCCTAAGGTACTTAGAAACTTGCTTTACAAGCAGTGTGAAATACTTAGTATGGCTTCTCAGATTATTTCAATTAATCAAGCCCCTAAATTAGTTTTGTAAGGAATAATAACAATGTCAAAGCAGCTTATTCTAATTATCACTTATTA